TTGGCATATAGCCAAATTCAATTCAGTTCAATTCAGCCGACTTCCATGGAGTTGTACTGTTGGCAGGAAGCATCCACAGTCTCGAGGAATGGCGAAAGCATTTCCTAGCCCATGGCGCCTCAATTGTACTTTTTAAAACAACCTTGGCATGACATAGAACCTTTCCCAAGGCTTTTGAAAGTCTAAATACAGGATTATAAATTACTTTCCTTTGTCAACACACCCGATTACCACTCAGGAAATAAGTGAGTTCTAGACGATGAATAAATAGATTATTATTTGACAGGTATGAGGCAGGTGTAGAAGAGGGGTGGAAGGCTGATGAGGAATGGGACTCAGTCCCTGTCTGATGCATTTGAAATTAACATTAAGTGTGGTGAGGAGAGGGGTTGGCATCTCAGCCATTCAGGGCTGGTGTGGGGCTGGGATTTAAAGGGATGCCCAGCAACCCCTTGTGGGAAAATACACCCCCCTCCACCACATACACATCTGTTGTTGTTGTTGTTTTTCTGAGGGTTGGGCCTATTAAAATTTTATGACTATTCCTCATGCCTGTCTCCACTCCCTTCTACACATTGCCCCCTCCCCATGCCAGTCCTCTGTAAATTAGTAATTTTCTTTCTCCCTGTTAATTATTTATTTTAATAGACTTAGAATTAGCCTTATATGTGTTTTTTAAAACATTACTTTTAGTAGAAAAACAACTTGGAAATGACTGAAATCTTACAATAATGGCTAGTTTAACTAAATTATGGTACTGCCATTCTCTGGAATAAAAGGAGCTCTGGTGGCATAGTGCCTAAGGCATTAGACTGCTAACCAGAAGGTTGGTGGTTCAAACCCACCAGCCACTCCGTGGAAGGAAGACTGGGCAATCTACTTCCATAAAGATTGACTGCTTCAGAAACCCAAAAGGGATCACTATGAGTCGGAATCGTGTCCATGGCAGTGAGTTTGGTTTTGATTTATACTCTGGACTCTTGTGCACACAATAAATTCATGTTGTGGACAAATAGTAATTGACATGGGAAAATTCAGTGTGTTAAGCAGAAAAGATAGGCAAAAATCTTGGCATGTGTGCACGTTTGTGCTATTAGTATTTTTTTCTTGGTGCTTTTCTGTTTTTCATGTTTCCTGCATTGAACACTGCAATCTGAGTTAGGGTGGAGGGAATGCATTGTGAAGACTCCAAGAGCACAATCAAGAGTATTAAGTAAGGCTTCCTCAAATCAGAGAACTCTGAGGAAGACAAAAGGCACAGAGTATTGGAGAGGAACTCTAGCAATATGCTAATTTTCAAGTGCAAGGAGAGATGGTTTCTGTTGGTGATGAGGACGTAAGGTCCACCTCTCAGTGTGGTTATTTGACTTGAGGTAATACAGTGGTGTCACTCGAGGGGGTACAGAGATGCAGACCATACCACGCGACACTCTCAGAGGGCTTGACAGCAAAATGACTGTCTAAAATTTTTGTGCAGTGTTTCAGCAGGAATTTATTATTATTATTATTTTTAAATAGCTCTGGTGGCATAGTGCCTAAGGCATTTGACTGCTAACCAGAAGTCTGGCGGTTTAAACCCACCAGCCTCTCCTCGGAAGGAAGGTTGGGCTACTTCCGTAGTGATACTGCCTCAGAAACCCAAGGAGGGGTTGCTATGACTTGGGTCTGACTCCACGGCAGTGGGTTTGGTTTTTGTAGTTAATTCTAGCAACGAAAACATTTGTCATATGCCCAGCTTACATATATCAATACACTTACAAGGCTAACACTCTGTGCTAATTTACTTTTTGAACCTTCTAATGCTTTCCAGTCATAGCTGTCATCATTGCCCTATTACAATAATTCTTCCAATTATGTGATTTAGTCTGTATACACTACAAGCACATTATTTTCATTGCTGCCAGTGTTTTTATAGTTGCTAATTTTGTCAAATTTTCTGCTGTTTTAGCTACAATATTGGGATAAGTTGTATTTGTGAACCTATACCAATAACTTTATTGAGAATGAAGTAGTAATTAAAGGAAGAGGAGAAAAATGAAAGGCTTCTGCTTAGTTATGAATAATGTTGTAATGCAATGTAGAAAGATTTTATAAAACAATTTTAGTGTTAGTATTCATATAATCTAAGTATTATATTTAAACAATTTACAGCTATATTTTTCACATATTGTTCTATTATTAAAATTGATAATAAACATTACTAAGGATTCTGTATGGTTCGGTTCTGGAAGAGGTCCATGGGGGAATGGTGACACCATGTGTTACCGCACTGGATGACATCAACCCTAGTGATGTCACTGAGGTAACAATAGCTTGGATTATGCTTGTGGCAATAAAACCAGGGTGGAAGGAATGGAAAGATCTGAGAGATGCTACCAAGAAAGAGTCAGAGGTGGACATTCAAATTTGGCCAAATATACACCAAGTAGTAGTTGGAATCATGTAAGAAGACACTTTCCAAGGAAATGCGTCTTAAAAGAGAATAACTGAAGGTTGAGTCTTCAGGGATCCCAATAGTTAATGAGAGGAGGGAAGATGAGCAGCCAGCAAAAGAGACAGAGAATGATGGGTCCGAGAGATAAGAAGAGAAACTTGAGAATGCAATGCCATGGGAGCCAAGTATGACAGTTATAGGAAGGAATGGGTGGTTGATGGTATCAAATTCATCCCCGAGGTCAAAGATGCAAACTGAGCAGAGACCCTTGAATTTGGCCAGCAGGTCACTGGTGAACTTACAGAGAGAGATTCTGGCAGAAAGCTCTATTCTCTAGAAGGTTACAGGGGAGGGAGAGGTGAGAAAATGGAGGCACTCCATGGGTATCACCCATGTGACAAGAGTAATGTATTAGGACTGAGAAGAATGAAGTCAGACTTTATAACTTTATTCCTGCTTCTTAACGTTCTGAACCTGAGTTTCCTCTTCTGAAAATAGGAGTAATCATAACCATAAGGGTGATGGAAAGTACAATATAAATTTAAATGAGTGTTTTTATGTTATAGTGAAGGAGCTTCTTCCTCTACGCTTCCCGCCTCCAAACTAGGGATTTCTGGGAATGTTTAAGCATTGATGATAGAAATCTTTTTAGCTCAACAGCCATGTCCCTAGGTTGGTACTACTTTGAAAATTCCCTAGCTGTATCCACTGACATTCATCATGCCAAATTACTTTAACAATTCTTTTCTGTTGTTGTTGTTGTTATGTGCCATCGAGTCATAGCACCCCCTCCTTGGGTTTCCAAGGCGGTATCACTATGGGAGTAGATTGCCCAACCTGCCTTCCGAGGAGTGGCTGGTGGGTTTGAACCGCCAGTCTTCTGGTTAGCAGGCAAATGCCTTAGGCACTAAGCTACCAGAGCTCCTATTCTTTTCTGAGACCCTCTGAAGTGAGAACATTGAGGAAAGGTGATTAGGAGGGAGTCTGGGTCATGTGGAATGTCTCTGAGGTTTGTGTATATGTTGTTGAGGAAGGCTTTGTTTGAGACACTGGGTATAGTTAAATGCCAGTCTCATCCCAAACCACACAGATGGCTGCATCCCCTGAGTGGATGATGATAGACTGGAGTGCAGCTGGGCCGAGGTCCCAGAAAACCTTCCCTTTTTATCCACAGCACCTACAGATTGAGTGGTCCCTGAACTGAATGGTCTAGAACAGGCAGCTTAATTTGCAAGGTACACATGAGTGCATATACTTTTCTCTTTCTCTTCTCATTTGACAGCTATATACAACCAGACCTGACCCCATGTTTTTCTATCTCCAAATCAGCCCTTCTTGAGCCGTTTTCCTTTATGACGCCCTGTCTGTTTCTAGCTGATCTTTGTCTTAATGCCTTAATCTTCCCTGAAAGCGATAGATACCCTGGTGAGAAAAAGATACTTACCTATAAGCCATCAGGGTCTAGACCTGTTACCAAGCCTGAAGAAGCACATAACTGTGTGCCCACCTAACTAGGGTTTAGTTGGGGGAGAAGTGAGCATATTCTCTAGAACTGGCATTTTTCAGATCTTGAGACATCAAGAGAGTGTAGTCAAAAGGACTTGTTAAATGCCCCTGAGCCTCTTAAGGGTAGAAGTTGGCTTCGCTCCTGGGAAGATGGTTTAAGAATGGGGAACGGGGCCACATCTCCCTAAGTTGTTCTCACCCTCACATGCTAAGATGCATGGGCCTCTCTAAAAGCGTGATAGGCGATTATAGCAAGAATATTTCAAAGGAGCCTGGTTTCCAAACACTTTTTTGAAAGACTTGTGCTGTGTTCTAGCAAGTGCCCAATCATTCAGTCACCAAAACTGGCCTGAGCATCTTTTGAATAAGATGCTCTCCTCCAGCCAGGGAAAGGAATACTAGAGTAATGCGCTAACATATGGACAAGGGGTCTCAGCTGCCATGTTACCAGAAAGCTGAGGAAAGGCTTCTCCAGTCTCCCTTCAGCGTCCCTGGGCAATGCCTCCCTTGGGGGGCCAGATGCTGTATCTGGGCCAAAGCGGGGACTGCAGGGCAGGTGGCCAGAACTTGGAAGACATTCTCTTCCGCAGCCCAGGGTCCAGGCTTGGCCCCAGCAAGCTGCCCCGCCAGCCTCTGCAGTCTGGGGCCTCGA